ATATATATTAGGGACTAAAAACATAAATTTTAAATTTTAGGGACAAAAGAATACATACCTCAAATTTAAAGGATTAAAAACATAGTTAGGCCTAATTTCACGTCGTACATTTATAAATGATTCATTTTAGTATATAAACATTTACTTTTGAAATAGTTCTAATTTTTATATGCACTAGTTCATTAAAATTGAATAAATTTTAAAGTTATTAGTAATTTTCAAAATTTACAATGAATCGTAACAAATAGGGATGGCAATGGGGTCCCATGGGGCAGGTAATAGTAAACCTGCCCCTATTCTGCTAGATGAAAATTGGTCTCATACCCACCCCATATCCGCGCAGGTATCCATTAAGTGGGTATCCATGAATTTCTTAAATACCCACGGATATCCATGGATATTTATAAATTTTTAAAAAAATTTAAAAAATTATATTATAAATAATTTTAAGTTTATATTTAATGTCATTGAAATATTAAAAATAAAAATTCAGTGTTAATTTTGAACTCGTATTTAATGTTGATTTTGTTGAAATAATAATAAAAATGCAAGATAATCAATAACTTAAAATACATCAATCTCATAAATAAGTTAAAGTCTCATCACAAAGCTACAATAATTCAATCTCATAATTTCAAACGAAAGTAAATAACTTAAAATACATAAATCTTATTGGTCCAATCAAAGCTAGAAAATTAATCAAATTATATCCAACATAGTTCTATAACATGCTTAACACATGTTAATTTCATTAACCTCACTTTTGTAAGAAAATAAGATGAGGTGTAGTTTTAGGTTTATGTGATACAAAGATAATTAGGATATTTAAAAAATATTATTAAACGGATACCTGCAAGTATGGATATCATCATACCCGCCCCCGCCCCATTTATAAACGGGTAAAAAATTATTCGTTCCCACATTATCCGCGGGTACCCAATTAGCCTATCTATTTATTATCCGTAACGGATTTTACCCGCAGATACCCACGAGTGTGGGTATTTTTGCCATCCCTAGTAACAAACTAGTATATAGACTAATTTAAAATTTTAGAATATATGTAATCTAATTTTGGAATGAAATAGAATCTTTGTTAACTATATAGATTCTGATTGTTATTAGTGACTTTTAGAGACTGAAATAAATTTTAATGATTTAGTATAGGGACCAAATTACACCCTCTACACATTTTCAAGCAGTAGATTGATGGTTTAATAAAAGTAAAATCAAATTTTCCATGAAACAAAATCCTTCAATTTGGTCCTTATGACATTTTTTTCAATTTGATTTATGTGACATCACAGTTACCTAACAATTTCTTCAAATTGGTTCTTGTGACATGTGTGTCCACATAGTCACATAATGTATGTTGTTTGTAACACCGTGATTTTCTTAATTATGTATATTTAATATGTATGTAATTATGATTGATGTTTTATGTGGTTTTTAAGTTGTTTTGAGTTGTTTTATGATGTTTCGTCTATGTTGGAGTGAGGATAAAGTTGAGATAACCCTGTGATTAAATTATATGGGATATAGCTTAAGTGTCTAAGAGTGGGCCCGAGAAGGATTAAGGTATATAAGACAGAATTTGAGAAGTAAGTTTCATAAGTTCATATATCAAGATTTCTAGAGCGAAGTTTAAAGAAGACTCTCTAGGAACTCTAAGTTGTTGTTCAAGCTTCTGATCATTTTTGAGATTGTGGATCTTCTACAAGGCTAAGAAGTAGTTGATCTTCGAACCAAAGGAGATTATAGAGCCAAAATTCTTGAGAATAAAAGTTGAAGGAGCTTTGGTGAGAGCCATAGAGGAAGTTTCTTCTACCTAGGGAGCTCAATCGAGGTAAAGGTATGGAGAAAAGACACACACTAGAAGGGGGTTGAATAGTGTGTATCAAAAACTCACACGTTTGTGTAATGGAAAAAAAATAACTTATCAAATCAAGTGTTGGAGAAGAGTCAAAAGAAACATTGAAATTTTTATACTAGTTCGTCTCAACCACCGAGACTACGTCAAGTTCTCAATCCAACCAGATTAAGTTCCACTAACTTTTAACAAAGTTATAAGTATTCTTTTACCAAGTCACTCCTGGCTCAATCCTAAGTAGTCTTTTACTTGCCTCTTCAAACAACTATCTAAATATTCTTTGAACAATAAGTCTCTCCAAGCTCAACACCAAGTATTCTTTCAGACAAGTCTCTTCAGGCTCAACACTAAATATTCTTTCAAATAAGTCTCTCCAGACTCAACTCTTACAACAAAGGTAATGAATGATTATAAGATTATTTTGTCTCTTCTAGACGTGGTGTAATCAACAATAAAAACATAAGTAATCTACAAAGAAATATATAGAGTTTACAATAAGTATTTCTTTGTATGCGAGATTCTTCTATATGTTTCTTACTTGTTAATCATATTTGTTTCTTGAAGGCTCAATCATTATATAATAGTTTTAGAAAAGATGACCGTTGCGACAATTTTGAGTTGAACTCACAAGTTGCTTTGTTTGTTTTCACTGCTGTTAAAGATTTTTATATGGCAAGCATACCAAGTCTCTATAATATAGGAAAGTAAAGGTTGTCGAACCTCAAGGACTTGGAAGATTTTAGTAAATCCTTTTTTTCTTCTAAATGAAGCTTGATAAAGATAAATTTATACAAGACAAGATCATATTGCTACAAGTAGAAATAATATCTTCAGTAACTAAACACATAAAACAAGGCTAGAATAGAAATTTATTGAAATATAGAGCTATTGAGATTAAACTTCACCAATTTCACCCTGATATACTCCTATTATATATATATATATATATAATTTCCATTACCCAATACACTTGAGTTCACTGAATTCATTCAAAACCAATTCCTTGATTTAGAAATTCTAAGGACTACAAGTTAACAATTGATTTATCAAGTTATCAAGTTAAAATCCTTGCATTAAGTATTAGAACTTTTTCAACTAATAGCTTGAAATCTATTCCAAGTCTTTGAGGGTATTAGGTGAGTTGATTCAGAACTAAGTTTAAAAAATGTTTTCTAACTAAAATCCAAAGTAAAGATCAAAGATGAGTGATCAGATAATCCAAGCATTAAGAACATAATCAAAACCACCGATACTGAATAATAGAACATCATATATATGAAAATTAAAAAGAATACATGAGAGTTTGATGGCTACATTTAATCTCAACAAAAAGAAAATATTAGCCCCTCCTAGTGATAGGAATCAATCCAAGGTACATGGAAGATGAGAAAAAGAATAAAGGAAAAGCTAAATAACCCCTCTTCCCAACTAGTTCCAAGTCCTTTTTCAAGTTCTGCTCTGTTTGTGCTCTATTTTTCTTCCTCCCTTTCTTTTTTTTCCTTTTTTTTTTAAATGTTGGCCAAAATAAAACAAATTGTAGTGGTTGAGCCCTTGGTCCAATGGTTGAGCGCCTGGGAGCTCCAAAAATTTTGCCTTTCGGACCCTAAATCGCTTAGCCCCTTTTCAACCGTTGGGCGGTTTAGGGCTTTCTCCTACATGCTTCTCTGCCTCCAAACCGCTCAACCCTTTTACAACTGCTAAGCGATTTGGGTCTAAGTTGTAGCCTTCATATTTTCTACATCTGCAAAACAAAAACACCCCAAAAATTAATAAAAACTTTCATCAATTCTCAACAAAAAAGTCTTACTTCATATCTTTTTGATTCTATTTACAAGCTTATGGATTTATTTATAAATTTCATACTAAGATATCTAGGTAAGTGTCAAAATTGATTAAACTAATTACATAAATTTGATACTTATCAACTCCCCCCAACTTAATACTTTGTTTGTCCCCAAATAAAAGTCCTAACAAAACTAATATCTTCTAAATAACAACATATAAGTAACTATATGCAGGGGGATTGAACTAATTCATACCCAACAAAAAATATTAATGAAAAAACATGGTTCAAAATATAATATACAATGAGGTTTGTTTTCCACGCCACAATATCTCAATGATAACTTCCCAAGTGGTGCCCACATAATAACAAAAATCATGAAACATCAAACATGTCCAAGTAAAAAAACATCCACTTATTATCCATTGTTTTCAAATAAGAACACTAATTTTCACCTCACAAAAGTGTATATCTCTCAAATAAATAGTGAAGGTGAGTGTTTCTCTCATTTCAAACACTTAAACACACTGAATTAACTTTGTTACCTGTCTTTCACAAGTCAACAAAATAAGCAATGCATGGATCACTAAGAACTTTCAGAGGGTTGTAATGTGGCCTGGCTACAAGAAAATTTGGTTTTTCTAGGAAAACAAAAGGCCTAATTGACAAGAGAACATTCCTTACTAAACCATGAGCTTTTACCCAAGTTCCATACATGAATAATTTCTCTTTCTCATTTCTATCTCAACCCTCTTTAGATTTATATTTACTAATTCCCTTTTCTTTGGATTTTTACATTTGAATAAAGGAATTTTACAAATAACCAAAACTATTTATTTAATTATTCTTTTTTTTTTTACTAAATAATATACAACATAACTCCAATCACATGAATACCTTCCCCTCAACTTACATAAGCCCATAGTTTCGTGAAATTATTCTCTTACCAAAAGGGCTAAGAGAAAATCCATGGTTTTACTTTTTTAAGGCTTAAAAGGGTATTCAACTTGAAAAAAAAAATTCTTAAGGCTCAAAGTGGTTAAATAAGGATCATAATGTTCAAGGATTAGCTTATTTGGCTCTGAGTTGAATAAAAGAATAAAATGCCTTGATCTTATCCATGCATTGCACACTCATAACTCATGAAATACTCAAACAAAACCAATAAGTATGAATCAGTGATGACTCTTAATAATGCAAAATATACTATTTAGGCCCACTACCTCACAAAGTTGGGTCAAGTGTTCTCAATTTCAAAAAACTTCCAATTTGCTTCAGTTTCACTTGAATTTGTTTAATGCACATAACTTAAGTTAAAAGAGTACAACCACTTGTGTAAAAAACAATTTTCAGCTTTGAAACAAATTCTCATTGTATAATTGTACCATGATATTGCATAATCTCAAGAATTGTTTTCAATTAATTCCCAAAATACCATGACATATATTTTTTTATATATACCTTAATCTTGTTATTATATTACAACTACACGGTATTGCTCAAGCCTCAAAATCATTAAATCCAAAACAAATCAAGTTCCAAGTAATAATATGTTACCAAAATAGTTAACTCAAAACAAGTCAAGTTGAGCAAGTGTTTAACCACATAAGCACAAAAGACAAATAAAAACACGTAATTAAAACTAATAAAATAACACAAAACAACTCTGTCAAACTCAATCATCCTTTTCTTCATCTCCTTCTTCAACATCATCTCCCTCTCATTCTTCAACCTCATCATCAACTTCAGCTCTAACTTGAGCTTGCTCTTCTTCAACCTCATCATCAACTTCAGCTCTAGCTTCAGACTCAATGCATTACATTATCATGATTCCATAACTTCATACCTCACACATTCCTTATATCATATTACTCATCATTCATATTTAGGTACTCATATATAGATATCCTTTCATATTCACATCAACATCACAATATAGTAACTACAACGTGGAATTTAATAAAAGAACAATATAAGGTATGCATGCAGAACGACGCCCAACAACACACGCCCCGTGCCCAGTGCGAGTCTTCCAAAGAATCACATTGACCTTTGTCTAAATCGCGTCTAGCGTGATCGAGTCCACACCCGACGAGAACTCCACTAAGAGCTCGTTAGAGGGGTCCACACCTGACGAGAGTCAACTCACATCCAGTGAAAGCGTCCCAAGGAAACCCTTGGAGCTTTTACACCCAGCGAGGGTCATCTCACACCTGACATGAGAGAACCCAAGACCCAACACGTCCCAAGTGGCACTCAGTGACATATCAAAAACAATACGCACATCAAAAAACACAAAAATTATGAGACACACTAATTCACCAAGATACACAATTCAATTAGTAGAAGCTTTTCAAACCACATAATAAACATTCTAAACAACATAAATTATGCATACAATTACATATTCAAACAATCTCTTCATACAATCACCATTGCATTCCTTTAGGGTTCCTATGGGAACCCACAGGAACATCAAAACATACAATTTACAACCCAATTTCAAAAATTACTAACACATACATACAATTCACATTTATTATAACATATAAGGAGAACAAGAAGTAAAACATATACAATTGGAGAAAATCCCTCGTACATGAGCATACAACAAACATAGGATTAGAGGTCAATCCCGCTACCCAACATACAAACTTACACTTAGAGCAAAGTTTCTCTCTCCCCTTTACCTATATAAGATCTAGATGACGAGTGCACGACGCCGAAGTGATTTCCTTATTGTTCCTATTCTCTAAGCTCTGAAGCGCGTACGTGAAAATAAAAGCATAAAAAATATTTAATAAAAAAACTCATTTTTTTTAATAATAAAAACCTAACATGCCTTTGACCTTCTAGTTAAAACATACTAACCATAGTTATCCTAAGGATCCCTTCTCTTTTTAATAATATATTATACTATTCTTTAATAAAATATCACATAATAATATATTACATAATTAAAACAAATATTTAACAACCCTTTTTAATAAAATAAAATATCAAAATTATTAATAAAATACTTATATTATATTTTATAAAAAATAGGGTGTTATAATTTTTACTTTTTTATATAGATTTTATGTATTCTCTATTGGAGACATTTTGAACCTGATATGACCATTATGGATGGCAAAGTTCTCCCTTCAAGTTTTTAACATGATTACATATTTAAGACTCGAACTCAAGATCACTATAGCTAAATTGGAAAAATCTCATACCAATTGATCAAGTGTTCATCTATGTTTTTACTCTTAATAAACATAAAAAAATTTAATTACATTATTTACATAATATTTCTCTACAATACATTTTATAATAATATTTGTTTACAACTATCTTTAATATATTAACTACCTTATCATGCGTTTTTTTTAATAAAGGGGTAGATAATTTATTTTTTAAATAAAGGAAAGAGATGTATTTATTAATAAAGGAACGTAAATATCATTTTTTTTAAAAAAAATTTCCAAACAATCAATATAATTCAAGTCCAAACATAATGAAAGAAATTGCCATCAAAACTAATTCTCCTATGACTAAAACTTTTTGCCAGATTTTTTTTTTCATTCTTCAAGGTTTTGATCTGTAATTGTGACAACAATATTGCGCTTGAGATAGTTACCACAACCATGTTTGACAACTAAATTGATCCAAATCTACTGCATTTTACTATAATTAACGTAATAAGTGAAGGCCAATTCTCTTTAAATTCATTAGTCAAATTCATTTTTTTCAAGTAATTAAATTAACATGGCTTCTTCATATACTAGTTTCATTTTATTTTTTCTCTCTTTTTGCTTAGCGTTAACCCCCATTGCTATGGGTGGGAATTTCTATACTGATTTTAACATTATCTTTGGAGATAATCGAGCCAACATACAAGAAGGAGGCACAAGCATGTCCCTTACAATGGATCAACATTCTGGCTCTGGCATGGCTTCCAAGAATGAGTATTTGTTTGGTCGATTTGACATGCAAATCAAGCTTATACCAAACAACTCTGCAGGCACTGTCACTACATTATATGTATGATTTTTTCAAAATTAACCCATCATTGCTTAAGCTATCCCATATCCATGCATGCATTATGCATACATATGTCCATTTCATAACATTTACGCATATAATTAATATTATTTTATAAACATGTAGCTAAGCTCTATTGGGTCACACCATGACGAGATTGATTTAGAGTTCTTGGGAAATTTGTCTGGTGATCCTTATATACTCTCAACCAATTTGTATGCCAATGGCATTGGAGGTCGCGAGATGCAATTCTATCTTTGGTTTGATCCCACAGAGGACTTTCACACCTACTCTATTGATTGGAATCCTCAACGTATAATGTAAGTAACAAATAAATTTGTTTAATTTATATACACCTTAGATGGAAAAGTTTTTCATGCACAAACACTCAACAAGATAAGATCATTTTATTACATCACCTTGATCATAATTTGAATTCCTAGATGTATGTCTAAGTAAAAAAAGATTTATATTATTAATCAATAAAAAAACATTGTTGACATTACTTTAAAGTTGATTATTGTAAAAGTAAATAAACTTATTATGTGTGATGATTATTTATGATGGAATAACCGTGCATTTTTTTATATAAATTGTTGGTTTAGTTACTATTTATTTAATAATGTAAGTGTAAAAAGAAAGTTGTATAAATCTATATGTATGGTATTATATATATTGTGTATGTAGAATCTTGGTGGATAACATACCTATAAGAGTGTTTCATAACAAGGAGAACATTGGTGTTTCATTCCCCACAAGCCAACCCATGAGAGTTTATACAACTTTATGGGATGGAGACTTTTGGGCAACAAGAGGGGGACAAGTTAAGATTGATTGGTCTAAAGCTCCATTTGTAGCAAGTTTCAAAAATTTCAATGCCAATGCTTGTATTGCAAAACTAGAGGCATCTTGCAAGGATTTCAATGGTGGGAGAAACAAAGGTCTTAATGCTCAAATTAGGAAGCAACTTAAGGATATCCATTCAAAATGGGTTGTTTATGATTATTGTCGTGATTTCATACGTTTTGCTCATGGTTTTCCATCTGAATGTAACAAGAAAAGTTAACTTCTAAATTTCTGAATAAAGGGTGGATGATCAATTAGTTGAGTAGTCTACACAAGTTATTGAAATTTTCTTGATATTGAGTTTGATTTTTAATATATAATTTTCTTTTTGGACAAGATGCAAACCATATATATGGTCATGAACAAACAATTTGTGATTGGATCAAAAGAAAAATTTAAATTAATTTGAAAATAGATATTTAATTATTTTATCGTATAATGAATTAAATTTTATTAGATTGACATTTTAATTAGAAGATCTATTTGGAAGTTGTAACTAATGTTTTAAAATTAGACTGGTCATTAAATCAATCAAGTCATTGATTTAAGGTTTAATAATTTAATTTTAATTAAATTCGTATGAATAAAATGATAATAGTTAAATAATACATAAAAAAATATTAAAAAACTTAATACCATAAATTTATAATACTAAAAAATAAAAATAAAACATTAATTTTATGTATTCTTACATTTAAAGTATATACAAATGTTCAAATCAAATATATTATAATATTCTATTCTAAGGTGTAACAAAACAAATCAAAATTTACTAATAATAACATATGGAAGAACATATGCACAAAGTTTTGATGATGCCAAAACATTGTAGAAAATAAAAGGTCAAGTTAAAGCAAGTTAATCAAGAAATAAGATACCAAGAATTAACTAGATAAGTCTTGTCAACTTAGCTAAATATATAAAAGGAACTTTTAGAAATTGCAAATTTTACTTAGCCATTAAAACTAGAATTTCAAGAAAACCTTAATTTAGTCTTTTTGAATATAAGAGTAAGTTTTTATATCTTTTTGAAAAGAAAGTAAAAAAGAGTGTTCAAAAAGATTTTACAAAAATATTTTTGACCGATAATTAGAAAAGTTTCCTATATCAAAAGTTTGTATAGAAAATGTTTTAATATGTGTCTGGTAATCGATTACTAGTTTAAGTAATTGATTACCAGAGCAAGGAAACTTCAAAGTTTGAATTTCAAATACAAAATAAGTTTTGGTAATCGATTACGATACTCTGTAATCGATTATGAGACGAGGAAACTTTAAAATTTGAATTTAAAGATACAATGTTTCAAATTGTTTTTGAATTTAAAACCGTTGTAATTGATTACCAATTCCTTGTAATCGATTACCAGTGTATATTTTTTGAAATTTATAAAGGGTTCAACTTTTCATGAGAAAACTCAACCATAAGAATACTTGTCTACAAATACCTATAATTCTTTTATAAAAGGTTACGAACTCTATTGTGAAAAAGATATTTACAAAAACTTCTTGGCAAAAGCAATTTTCATTAATTCTCTAAAGAGTTCATTAAGATCTTAAAAGTGTTATATCTACTCTTCAAAGAGAGTTACTCTATTATACCCACTTGATCATTTGATCTGTAAAGGAGAAAGAGTTATTCTCTTTGTTGGTTTTTGAATCTCAACACAAGGAAAGGGAATTTCAAGGTGTTGGAGGATTCAAGTCTTGTAAGTACTACAAGAATAGTGAAAATCTCAAGTAAGAGACTTGAGGACCGGACGTAGGCAAGATTGGCCGAACTAGTATAAAACAAGTTTGCAATTTCTCTTTCCCATTACTTGTTATTTAATTGAGTTTGAGTAGTTTTGCATCAATAAACTTTACATACAATTGGTCTAAGAAATTGAAGTTATTAGAAAGCAATTCTAAAAACTCATAAAAGATTAAAAAATTGGTTAACTTAATTCACCCCCCCCTCTTAAATTATACGAGGCTACTTGTCCAACAAACATATATGTTCATATTTATAATAATAACAAAAAATGACAAATATTTTATGTTGATTTTCTTTTTTTTTTTTATAGAAAAATTTGAGAAAAAAAGTAGTTTTAAGAAAATTAGTTGAGCCATTAAAAACTAGTTCTTGACCAATTTTTGGGTTTTTTCATTAGGTTTATGTTGGGTCCATTTAGTAGTTCTTTTGAACTGGTTAGGTGACTAATTTACTAATTTTTCAATCAATTTAGTTAGATTTTAAAAACATAGGTTATAACCCTTGATACTTTGTGAAAAATATTTTGTATTTAATTATTGAATCTAGAAATGCATAATTTTTTTCTCAATCAATTGTTGACATTTAAAAATAAATCAAATACATTTTTAATATGGCTCTATAATTAGCCTTACACATTTCAATGCTCATTTGGGTGTACATAAGAGTTGATACCCACTTAAGCATTTTCTAGTTTGGATAGAGTAAGAAGATTTGGATATACTAGAATATAGCTTTGGATATCTTTAAGTAAATAATAACTAAGTATCTTGGCTAGTTGATTCATAGGTATTTAGTTAAAAACTGGTTTTTTTAACTTAAAATCTTATTTGAATTTAATATGAAATTTTATTTTAATTGTCTTTACGAAAAATAAGAATGCTTTAATAATTTATTTATCTTTTTAGTTATTAATACAATTTTATATTGAGACTTTAGGTGGAAAATTGTATCAAATTTGATTGTAATTTAAAACATTTTAAAAAAAGATTAAAGTGGAATCAATATTTAAAGACCTTATTAGATTTTAAAATGACCGACACTTTTATAAGACAAAAAAGTGAAACTTTGAAAATTGTATGGGGGACGAACTTTATGTTAGGTTGAGATTTCACACTAAGACTAATGTGCATATGGCTATAAAGCATTATTCAGTGAATGCACGACAGACTTTTTGTGTCATTGAATCTAGTTTGAAGGTAGTCTTTAAAGTGTCCAAATAGTAATGATGGTTGTCTTTAATGTAATGTTATCTTAAGATCACAAAAATAGGATTATGAATTCATATGTACTTGTATTTTGGGTGAGATTTATTATTTTAATCAATAAATCTACAAATATTTTAGATGTTATTTATATGAAACATAATTAACTATATTGCATATCATTTGTAGGTATGGTCAAAGAAGATGCTTCAATCTCCATTTTGTTAATACAAGAAAGAATTAATGGTCAGTTTAATTACAAGATATCATACAAGAAGGCATGGAAGGCCAAATAAAAAGCAATATCAAGAATTTTTGGAGACTGGGGTGCTGCATATGATTTATTGCCAAGATGGATGGATAGAATGCTTCAAGTTTGTCAAGGATCAACATGCATTCTTAAGACAAGTGATTATGTCTTAAATGGTGCATTAGATAAATTTTTTGACAATTTAGATGTTTGTTTTGGACATTCAAACCTACATGTGATGCATTCAATTTTACTAAATCCATTATACAAATTGATGGGACATTCTTTTACGGAAAATATCGAGATACTCTATTAATTGCAACGACTCAAGATGGTCATTCTTGAGTGCTTCCATTGGCATTTGTAATTGTTGATGGAGAAACATTAAGCGATTGGTCTTGGTTTTTTTTCTCCAAAATCCATCAATGTGTAACCCAAGAAAAGGCATTTGCTTGACATTAGATCGTCATCAAAGTATTAAGTCAACTATAGGGAATGCAAGTTTGGGTTGGTAACCACCTAATGCATACCATGTTTATTGCATTCGCCACATTGCTAGCAACTTCAACCACCGTTTCAAAAATGTCAAGTTAAAAGAAGAGTTAATTAACATAGGTACATTGTTATTTGTTATTCAATGCATTGAACTTAAACACAAATATTACTCAATTTTGTCTAATAAATATACTTTATTGTGACATTGTATATTGGGTACACTACTTGCAAACACTATTTCAAAAAGAGACTAGAAAAGTTTCGAGAAGTAAGTCTAGAAATACGTCGATGGATCAATGACATTTCACTAGAGAAATGGAACATTGAAAATGATGATCAGGGTCATAGATTCAATCACATGACAACAAACTTGTCAAAGGTTGTAAAAAAGATTTTAAAAGGGGTTCAAAAATTTTCTCACTGCTTTAGTTAAGTGCACATATTCTAGATTAATAGAGTACTTTTATCAAAGACAGAGTGAAGCGGTGACAACATCTGAAAGAGGAGTACAATACTTTCCTAAGTTAATGGAGACAATGTAAAAAAATCAAGAAGATGCAACCTCTCATATTTTTCGTAGATTTGATTATGAAGCCACAAGGTTTGAGGTTGAAAAAATATTCAATCCACTAACACAACGAGGTGGACAAACTTGGAATGTAATGCTTAATGATTGAACTTGTGAATGTGGTGCTTCCCAAGCATATAAATGTCCTTGTTCGCATGCCATTGCTGCTTGTGTGTATGTACGTGTCAATTCATGCAATTATGTTGATTTGATTTATTCAAACCAATATATAGCTCAAGCCTTTTCAGGACAATGGTATCCAATAGGTAATGATGTCAACGTATAACCAAGTCATGGCCCCATATTGTTCTTGATCACTCCGAGTTGTGTGCAAAAGGACAACAAAAATCTACTCATATACACAACGAAATGGATTGGACAGAGTCACAACATAGACAACATTGTCAACATTGTCATATTGAAGGCCACAATAGATCAAATTGTTCACGCATAACTGAAGAACTAAATGTAAATCGTTAAAGTGCTATGTGAATTTTCTGTTTATGTAATATTATGCAATCAACTTTAGATTTTTTTCACACATATTATGATCTTTAATAGTTAAAAAAGTTATAACACAAATCATTAATTTTATAGACTAACTTGCAAAATTAATGAACATTAAGCATAACAAACATTACAAACATAAGCAAATAATAAATAATTGACTAAAACCTAAATAAAAGAAGATAGTAAAAACATAATCTAGAACGCAAACGATAATGAACACATGTAAACAAAGTACCATCCTAAGATTAACTTGTATTAATATATAATAAATTGCATCTATGTCTATTTAAAACTTGTTATATAATTCAAAACTATAAAAATTATAATATACAATATTTTGCAAAAAATAAATATATAATAAAACAATAAAAATTACAAATATTTAATTTAATATTTAATTTTAAAAATTATAAAAGGTGGGGATTTTAGAACAGAAAATGCAT